CCACGGGAGTATAAAAGCCACCAGCAGTGCAGAAAACCTTGCACCAAAGAGGTGACAGCACTTGTGCTCAGCATGGCATTTCACTGACAGCTTGTGGTAATTTATTTATTCCTTGCATTCGGATAAGTAACACATGCAGCAGTCAGGCTATCCTGTGCTATCTTAATGTATAAGAATATCAGGAAAACTGATAGAATAAACTTAGGAGCACACTCCAGGTCACACAGCAATGACAAACTCCAGAATGCATCATTAATACCACTTTTTGTGGGCATGTTCTGTGAGAAAAGCAAGACAAGACATAAAAGGATTCTCAAATTCTAGTCCAAGCTGATTGAAGTTGAGTATCTTAATATTTTGAGAAGTCCCAGACAACACTTCTCTGATGTTTCAGCCACTTTTCAGGATAAACCTTTTTGTAAGCAGCATGCCTTGGGGGATAAGAGATGCTTTGTGTGCAGAGCAGCCATGGATGGGAAGGAAAGCCCCAGCCTGAGGAGCTGGCACAGCCATGGGTGCAGGAATGAGAGCTGTGCTGGGCAGTGGGCTGATCCAGTCTCAGCCACTCAGTGTGCGCTCAGATAGGAAGCTTCCACTCCTCTCCAGCAGCTTTACCCTGCTTGCAGCACAGGCTTTGCAGCTTAGCAGAGACCTGCAGAAAAGAGGTCACATCTGCCTTTCCATTACTTAAATATTATATAAGATTTTCTTTGTTAAAATAATCACCTGATAATTTCTGTAAAACTGAAACATCTTATTTGCCTATCTGCTGAGATTTTCTTTATCCCCTGCTCTTTCTTATAGCTGACAAGTACCTGGGACACCAAGTAGTCCAAGCACTTTATTTTTTGTTCAGAAAGGCTGAGTGGTCTCTTTGCTTAAAAAGAAAAAAAAAAAGTTGAGAAACACAGTTGGGAAGTCCTGGTTCTGTCCTTTCCTTTTGACTGCTCATTTTAAACATATTCAGAAGGTGTTTGTGATTTATTTGTAAAATGCTTTCACTTTCTGTGATCACTGAATGTGAACACTGAATCTGTAATTGCTGTAACTCAATTCAGGTTAATAACTACTTTGCCAAATGAACACAGCATCATAGGAGCACTGCCTTTTTAGTCTAGCACTGACAACACACATTAGCAGGTGGTGCCCCGCTGCATGGCTCTGCTACCTTACGCAGGCAGGATTTGAAGGCCCTCTTGGACTGAGCAGTGGAGCCCTAGGGAAGCAGGGTATTTCACTGACCAGGAAGATTTGACACAGTTTCTCCGATGAACTGCGCCTATTACAGAAGTTGCTGTGATCCTGTCTGACTGGGCTGTGTCTGAGGCCTGTACTTTCTTCCTACCTGCACAGGAAGCTTGAGAAGGACAGGAAAGAATGCCCTGTCTCAAGTGTCAGTATCACTGTTGTTTTGCAGATGCCCTTCTCTAACCATCCTCTAGATATAGGCAGTCACTTCTGATGAATTGTATTCTTCTCAAGGCTGGAATGCTAGCACGTTTTAGCAGAGCCTTACCAATGGGTCCTGTTAAGCTGGGTGACCCTCCTTCCAGATGGAAGTGGTCCAGAACAGCTTGATGCGGTCAGCTGGCACAGGAAGCTGAGTAGACACTGACATCCTTCCCGCTCACTTGAGCAGTGTGTCAGGAAGAGGGCAGGAGAGAGGCTGTCTGAGGAGTGAACAAACCAAACCATACCAAACATTAGCAGTAAGTGCTCAATCATGAACAGCCAGAAAGTTGTGCTGGAAAGAAGAAATACACGGAAGCAGCAGTAGCAGTGCAGGATTTTCTGCAGCCACAAGTGCTCAAAGCTGAGGATAGCACTCAGAAAAGAGGATGCCAATGCTAATACAGTCCCCGTGAGCATCATTCCCTTAGGATGCTGCTGAAAGGTTATGGTTGGATGAAAAAAGCGGCTGGGGAAATAAGTGATAATCCCAGGCTTGATTACAGGGGTTCATTAGATACAGCACTATCTGGTGAAATTGTACTTCTTTCTTAATCCTTTCCAAAGGATTTGTTGACTTATAGTAACATTAACCACTGGCAAAAAGGTACATACAAGGGTTTGGTTCAAAAGTGTGTGAATTTAATAATGTAAATGGTAATGGAAAATTACTTGCACAAATGACTGCTTTCAATGTTGCAACAGAAAAGAATTTACAATACTAGAAATGTAATTATTGAAGGTGATTAAAATTTTGGCTTCAGTTAGATTATATTCCTTCCAAATCCAACACTCTTCACTCCAGAGAGATTATTCATAACTTACATATTGCACTTGACTTAATTGGCATATGGAGTAAAAACATGATTTATCTGCTTTGTTCTAACCCATCTATTAAATGAAGCCTTGTTTTGTGTGACTCTTGCAGGTTTAGGTAAAGTGCTTTTAGTTTGCTCTGTCATGGCTTTTCCTTATCTGATCACTGTTCTGCTTTTTATTATTCAATGATTGCAGTTATGCGGGGGCCGTGTCATAAAGCATATTGAAAGTGTATTGCCACTTGAAATCCGAGAACAAAATGTATGGTTATTTCATTCACCAAAGTAATTCACTCGATGCTGAGCCTCTTGATGGCACACTCAGTGTTTTCGTTTCAGAAAAGCAGTAGTCAGGTATTTGTGAACTTACTGATAAAGCCGGGATTTCTAAACAGAAATCAAGTTTTATAGTGCAATAGGAAGGAATGAATTTTTAAAAAATCTATTATTTGATGCATCAAGGAATGCACTAAAGATCTTCTCTTTTAAAAATCCATTTCTCCCATGACCAAAGGATTGGATCAGATAAAGGCTGAGGTGTCTTTATTTGAGATGGAGGAAAAAAGGCCACACCCACCTTGTTGTGGTTAGGAAAGTAGGGTTTGCATAGGCTGATCTTGTCTGTGAGCTGTTCTGAAAGTAAATGTGAACTTCAGCAGGGCTGTGAATGAAAATATAGCTAAGAGATGTGGTGAGTGAATGTTTGTGTGTGGATAGATACAAGAAGAGTTGTATGTCTCTCAGATGGGGACAGTGTTTGTACTTTAAAGCATCTCACCCAAGGCAGAAGTTTGCCTTTCTCAATATCCCATTTTTCTAATTTAATTTGTGCAGTGTGTACTCAGTGAAGGGGGAAGGCTGACAGCTGTCCTTCATCCCTGAAAAGAAATGACAGAGGGTGAAACTGGGAGAGATTTAGACGAGTGTGAATGGTAGGGAAAAGTGAGTATGGGACTGTTCCTTGTGCTTTCTAATGCAAGCTGTAAGGGCATGAAATAAGAATAGCTGATGGCATGTCCGCAGCAGGCAAAGAAGCTGTTTCTTTTAGCAGTGATCCACAGAACTCATCGCTGCTGCAGAGGCTGAATGCTTGTATCACCTCGAAAAGCGGGTGGACAAATCCATGTAAGAAAAGCCAGCAGGGGTGGTTAAATGCAGAGACTTCATCTCTATCTTCAGGAGCTTTTGTAAATGGCCAGGAGCTATAGTTTTATACCTCAGTGCCCTGTTTTTGTTCTCTGGTCATCTGCTGCTGGCCGTTTTTGGCAAGAGGAACCTGGCCCTGTGATTTGAGCTAGAACAGCTGCTTCTGTACGCAGTGTGTCCTGTCCAGAGACTGTTTGCTGAAGACCTCCAACCTGTGTCAGCATGCAGCCAGTTAGATTTTGGAAGGGTTCAGTGAAGCACTGAACTCTTCAGCAGTCAGGGATGTGTCAGTGGTGGCTGTTGTCTGTCTCCGTTGTTCTTACAAATGGTGCTTTGAGCATCTGGCTGGTTCTGGTCTTTCTTGTGACCTCACTCCTGCTTGTCATTGTTTGGATACTGCTACTCCCAGAGCTGAAGCTCTTTCTAGCCTTACCTAAGCCCTATGGAACAAAGCCCACAGAAGGCCGTAACCATGCTGGTCCTCTCAAAGCTGATTAGCACTTATGTAAAGAGACTTTCTGGCTGCAGTTCTTTTGGCTCTGAGTCATTGTTTTTGGGTTGCCTAGCCAGCAATGTTTTGAACCAGAGCTGCTGTGTTTTGCTGGGCTATCTAAACTCAGTGCTCGTTTGTGACTTACCATCCTCTGTCTTGTCCAGCCCCCAGCAACACTGCTCAGTTTCTCCTCCTGTTCCCCAGACAGAGATGGTCAAGCTTTTCCATGGTGTCATTCAAGTTGATAGCAATGGCTTTGTAAAGAAACAGGCTCAAAGCACAAACTCTGCCACTTTTTGTTACTGGAAAGTTGAATGCTGAAGTTTTCTGTGCCTAATATTTGCTCTCATTAACTGTTTGATACGTTAGCTGGAAGGAGGAAGACACTGGTTGTCTTCATTTTATTTTGGGTGCAGGCAGTCACAAACAACTACCTCAAACTGTTTTAACATTTGGAGCTGAAGAACATATTCCAGCAGTTAAACGTGCCTCTAACTTGAGAGACAGAGAAATGTGTTTAAAGAACATGGTTTAAAGAAACGTTCTTCCCTTCCTGCTTTTTGACACAGAAGTGAGATTGCCCTCTGCAACTCCTGACCACCAGATCAATGACTTCAGCACTTGTACCCACTTCATCAGCACTGGGCAGCTGCTGCAATGCTTGCAACACTCTTGATGTCACTGTTGGGTTTAAGCCAATGATGTATTTTATGATTAGAGATTTTGTTTTTCACTGGAACAACTTCAAGGCTTTTTCATCACTAGCTCATGTTTATTCCTTGCACCAGTGGAGAGAAAATGAGTGAGTGGCAGAGACCAATCTGTGCCAGATACTGACGACAGTGTCTGTTTTACCAGCCCTCAGCCATGCTGATCTCAAAAAATGTCAAAAGTTTACTGGGGATTTTTTCTCTGGATAGAGGAAAACACCAAAATAAGGGCATTTAAATGAGAGGTTGGACTTTTCTCCCTTCCCTTCTGTAGCATGCACAAATGAGGCCTTCCCCCATCCCAGCCCCTTCAGTGGGTCTCTGTGCATCCTGAGAGACAGAACAGAGCATTTTCTAAATACAATAAACATTACTCTGTCATGATTAGTTTTTACATTTCTGTGTTTTATTTCTTGTTTTGTTTGAAATGACCTGTACCACAAGAATACAATTTATTTATTTCACAGGTTTTTCTTTCTTTCTTTTTTTAAGGAGCAGATAATAGTTAAGTAGATACTGTTTATTTCACTGTCTATAACTCCCTGCATCAATCTCACAGCCTCTGTCTCTTTAGCTTCCCTCTATAAGCCAGCCACAAGAACATACAATCGGCCATACAATTGATTATAGCTTGTGGATACAAAGTGGAAGCACTTTCTCTCAGCTCCAATTGGTAATAAAAGCTCAACAAGTTACATTCTAGGGTCTTCTTCAGTGATTTTCCCCTCTAATAGCTGCTTATATGTTTCTGGTGAATTTGTTAATTGTTTAAAAAAAAAGATGACAGCTGACAAAGAGAAAAATAATGCCCCCTTAGTGCAAACAGTACTGCGAGGTTCTGATTGTTGCAGGGGACTTTCCTGTAACTTCACAGTTTTGCAGCGAGATGTAATGCCCGAGTTTCCCCAGAAACCTCATTTTTGTGTAGTGTTTTACCCTTTCCTTTAATTGATCCCCATGAAATTAATTTTGCAATACAGGCCAGAGACTGCTGTTCCCGGAGAAGAATGTGCCCAAAACAGAAGAACTGGTCACTTGGGAAGATCTGCCATGTCGCAGTGGCTCACAGGTACGTGGTTTCTGTTATCTGCACATGTATATCGGGGGCTAGAGCTGCTTTTACCATACTAGCTGCCTGTCAGCTTCATGCTTATTCACTGTCACCGACACACTTACCTCTACAGTTTAGCTTTTCTTTTCTTTAAGTCACAGAAATTGAGGCCCAAACTCTGTCATCTTTTGCCCCACGCAAAAGGACAGCTGTATGGAGCTGACTCTGTTAGCCCCATATTACAAATGAATGGCATAAGAAACACTGACCAGAACCCACCTCCCAGTTTATGCCTGAATTCCACGTCTCCAGACCTCTTTGTAAGAGCCTATGGGAATCCAAAGACCTAAGCAGTTGCTGAAGCCTCATTTCCCATGTCAAACTTTACTGAGGGGACTACACTAAGACGTCACCCTTTTCTGCAAGCCTGACCTGCTGTGTAGCTGGACATGCTCCTCTTTTGCGGCAGCATGCTGGTACTAGTGAGGCACAGCAGATCAGAGAAACTGGAAAGGGATGAGATGCACGTGAAGCCTGCACTTGTCTGAAAGGCCAAGAGACCTGCCCTGCTTCCCAACTAAAGATGGTATAAGCCTTTTAAGGGTTAAATCTAGGCAGGTGTTTCTGTCCCCATTCTTGGGAAACAGTTTGCATCCCTGGTATAGAGAGATAAATACATGCTAATTACTGCCTGGTTCAGTTCCCATCCTGTTTCAGAAGCAAACCAGCAAAATTTCCAGGCCTACTACCTTCAAGCAATGAGGCGATATCCAGTTGGGCTCCAAGATTATGCAGCTGTAATGGAGAAAGAAAGTCCAGGAAAAAAATGAATTTAGTATCTTTATATTGTTCTGCCAATGCAGCCGTTGCCTCCATACTCTAAATAGACAGCAGTCGCTGTTAGCTAGAAGGTAACTCAGCAGCCCTCCTTTACAATCATGTTTTCTAGGTTATTTTCCCCTCTGTTCTGAAAAGCAAGCCCAAGTTCAAATTCAACAGAGCTGGAGGAGTCTTTCCACACTCACAGAATGGTTGAGGTCCTCTGGTCCAACCCCCTGCTCAAGCAGGGTTACTTAGAGAAGATTTCCCTGGAACTTTTTTAAAATAACCTTCCCAGCCAGGGCCCAGCAGAGTAAGACTTGCTTCTTAGGAACTTTTCAGCCCACTTTGCGACAGCTGTGAGGCAGGCTGGAACACAGTGTGCTGCAGCTGAGTGGGACTCAGCAGAGAAGCAACAGTGGTCAAGTGAGTCCTGCTTAGAGACAACAGCACAGCACAGCAAGTGTGTGAGAATATTCATGCCACAGCCAGAAAGAGTTGCCAGGTTGCAACACGCTGCAAACTGGCTCTAGTGAAGGCTTGCATTTCAGTTTGGTCCCTCTCATTCACAGATAGATACAGAGATTGTAAGCGCAACCAAAAGCTATTGTTTTTCTCCCCAGCTCGCTCTGGGAGGGTGAAGGTGAAAAGAAGCACAGGTATCTGTTCAAGCACAAGGCCACTGTGTAATTGCTGCTGCTTTGAGTGTGGAAACAATCCCAGCTCCCGTGTGCCTTCTGACTCCTGGGTCTTTGCTGGCTTACTAATGTGCCTGAAGCAGGACTGAATTCCTTTATGTGGTGAGTACAGAATGGGTGAGTAGCTATGACTGTATAGTGTTGGGAGAACTCAGAGGAGATGGAACTGAACTAACTAAAGGACCAGCAGAGGGCTAGCAACATGAGCTGAGAGCTTAGTAGCAGCGAAATTTCCCCAGTTTCTGAGCTAGCCTGAGCTTTGCACTGAGATACATGTTCAGTTCCAGTAGAAAACAAGCATCCAGTACCTCCCTGATCACACTCCACAGTTTGGAAGGCTTCCTGTGCAGGTCACACCACTGGGTTATCCAGGAACGTAAGCCTAGGTTGAGAAGAGGCAGCAGAGGCAGTGGTGTCTCAAATACAGATCAGAGGCTTCTCCTCAGCTCTGTTGTCATGCCACTCACTACCAAACAGACAATACATTCTCTCACCAGCTCAGGCTGGCTCAGATCAAAGTGTCCAAAAAAATAAAATCTCACAGAATGCCAAGCTAGTTTTTTCAAGCCACCCAAAATCCCCTCTGAATACTGAGAATGCAGCAGTTGTGATTTAGCCAGCTGAGCTAAACTAAGGCTCAGACACAGTAGAAACCTAGTGACATGAGTAAACAAACGTTCCACCACTTCTTCTCTGACCACCTTGAGGTCAGATATATCTCTTCTTCCATCAGTGAGAGAACCTCTTACCAGGTCCAGGGATAATCCATGCTACCTTTTTTGCTCTGTTGAGGATAATGGGATGAGGCAGGGGAAGACAGTAGTTGGGATATTGGATCTGGGGGTTCCACGCCAACCTCTAAGCTTATTTGCCTAGGCTGCCACAAAAAAAGAAGAAAAAAAAAAACAACGAAGAAAAAAAAAAAGCAGTCTCTTGGGCTCAGGAGCTGTCTCCCCCAAAAAGCAGTTCCTTTGATTTCTAACTAGTATTTGGCAATAAGCCTAAGTCTCTGTGGAGGCAAAGATCTATTACTTGAATGAAGTCTAGGCAAGCCCTGGTTTGGGGTGTGTTTATACTTGGGTGGTAACCATGCAGACAAAGCCTTGTGCTCTCTGCCACAAGGAACGAGTGGGAAATGGCACTCAGCTGCACTGAAGAGGCAGGTTTTATACTACAGGGCGAAAAGTGCAGAAGAATTGTAGTTAGCACCACATAGGAAAGGATGCGGAGATTATCAAGTCAACCCAGCACAAAAGCTTACACCAGAATCTGTTTTTCTCACTACCTGGGAGACTTGCATTCTCTCAGGGCCATACATCCTGCCTCTTCAGGGTCCTGCGGGGATTGCACACGGGAGGGACTAGCCAGGCGTAATGACACGCTGTACAAGGTCGCAGGGTATCTTACACAGTTAGGAGCATCTTTCCCGGTAAGAAGTGGGGCCTGTATGTACAAGTGTTAGCTGGCGCTAGAGGAGCCTGGGAGGCAGCCATTTTGATCAGGAGAGGTCCAGGACTGCTCTTCTCCAAAGCAGCATCTGCCCTATTGTTAGAGCCAGAAAGGTGACAAAATGAAGGACCCTGGCTGCTTCCCTTTCTATCTGACCCCTCACACCACAAGCAGATAAAGTTTATATTGACTCTATTCTTCGTCTCTTCCTGCTTCAGTCCCCACTCCCTCTCCAGCACTGGTGGAGGGGGCTGGGGACCAGGCGGCCGGCACAGTGCTGAGAGCAACATCGCTCAGAGGGGCTGAGCCCCAGCGACCGCCTCAACAAGTGCAAGAGCATATTCTGGTATTTCCACAGAGAAAACAAATGAAAAAAAAGAGAAATAGGTGACTGATTAAAAGAGTTTTCCCCCTCCTGTACATGAGATTCTGCAGTCACGCCGACAGATAGACATTAAATAATTCTTCCATAATAAATGATTGGAGATAAAAGCCGGCGGTGGCTGCTGCTGCTGTTTGGATTGCTCCGTTGTCTGCATCTTTGTTTCTAGTTTGTTCCCCGGCCATTGTCGGCTGGCACTGGGGCTGTCAGACCTTTGCCTCTAGCATTTCTAGGAAGAGTTTATGCATGGGAACCTTGCCCTGCAGTTTGATGCTGTAGAAGTGCTGCACAGCTTTGGCGGCTGTCTGCCGCAGGAGGGGCAAGGTCAGGAGCAGCTTCCCTGCTCGCCGGGGCTCCTCGTTGCGCTGACTCAGCTCGTAGTCCTGCAGGGCTTCGTGGAGAAGGTCCTGGAGCTTCTGCACCGCATCCATGTCCTCTATGTGCATAGAGTCTGGGGGGAAGGGAGAAGAGAAAGCAAACAGGACATGAGGAAGGAAACAATTTCCAGTATTTCAGCTAAAGATCCTTTTTTTTTTTTTTTTTTTTTTTTTTTAAATGAATTGCTTTTCTCTTTTGTTTTGTAAGGGGAAAAAAAAAAAAAAACAACTTGCTTGCAGGTGCAGGTGCTGAAATTTAGTGTCAGGCCCAGGAGCTGGTCCTAGCAGTGCAGGAACAGTAGAAATGTTACTGGGGTTTGTGACACATTGTGCCCTGTGTGCCCACTTTGCTGGTTACTCCAGGCTGCAGGGGGTCGGCCAGGGGTCTTTGTGACTTGCACATTCACTTGCCCTCCATGCTCCTGCGGGGGAGTCACCCTGCAAGGGGCGGCATCTGCTGTGCTGCCGCTTGGGAGCAATCTCATTAAGAATAATTAACACTGCTGTAGCGCTTCATCTGTCTAAACTACCTAATTGCCATGCAGCTGCTCAGGGTGTCAGCAAGACAGAAAAGCCCCAGCAGGTCACAGTCAGTGTGCCCAGGGGTGTTGCCAGCCCCACCTTTGTGCATATGCCCCTATTTTCAGAGACTGCCAGCAGCTGCTCGAGAGTTTCCCAATTCAGTCCTTCTAGAAATCTGCACCTCCTGCAAAGCCTCTTCCTTTAGGCTGCCAGGCTGCTAGAGAGGCTAACAGAGTGCAAGGCTAGCATGGCACCTCGGTGTACCTCTGAGGCAAAGGCAGCTGATAGTGACCCCGTCCTGGGTCAAGCTGAGGCACCGACGATTAACACAGACTGCTAAATTTGTGGGGTAGTCTTGATGGCAGAGGGCACCACAACAGAGGAGAGATGTTAGATTAGAGAAGCTAGCTAAGCACCATGTTGTTGAAGCTTTTCTCCCTTTCATCTTGCTGATAGTTGCTTCTGCCTCACAATCCTGACAGAGTTATACACTGTTGCCTTGTCTTCATTGGTCAGAGACTTTTAATCAATATTGAATGCACTGGTGAAGATTCCTATTTTGGCCATGGGGCAATGAATCCAGAAGCAGAAGCAAAGGGATGCTAGAATAAACATACAGTTGCACCTGTCTGCCACTCTAGCTGGGCTCTGCAGTGTAACAGTGTCTTGCTCAGCCTACATGCATCCAACGCAAATGTGAGGACTTGTTTCCCAAGTCTGACAGCAATAGAGGAGGAGGAAGGCTGGATGAAATGCCAGAATCTCTCCAGAAATACACATAATCTCTATGGAGAGCTCAACACAAATTGGAGACTGTGAATTTCATAAAATACATGTACAGTAGATGCTATTTATGATGTATGATTCATAAAGTATTACAACAGCCAAGAAAATAATATGTCTAACAAGGAAGCTGTTTAAAAAGATGTTTAAAAGGAATGTACTAATTAGGGGATATCAAAGGGTTGTACTTCCAAGATGCATATTGGGAAAAAATCATTATTGCTGTATTTGCTTTTTGTAGCCAAGAGACCAGGCAATGAAGCCCAGAAAAGGGCTGGTGGGTCATCATAGTGACTTGAGCTTGCCCCAGAGGTTGATTCTGAAGGAAGAGAGAGAAAGGAACGGAGAGAGGGAGGAAGGCAGAGACGGAGAAACAGCCTGGCAAATTCTCCCAGAAGCAGGTGGTGCCTCTGGAGAATTTCCATACACCATTAGGAGAAGCATTTCCTTACAAATTGCAGAGGTGATTTTGGAGAATAGAAGCATCAAGAAGTGGAACTCAGAGAGAAATATGCTCCACACTTCCTACTTTATGTGTGTCCTTCTGGCTGGGGGCACGAGGGAAGAAGCAAGAGCTCCTGTCAGAGCTTACAGAGTAAGTAGTTACAGTAGGTGCTGGAGGCACAGTAAAGTCATGCTTCAGGTCGGGGGTTGCTGCTGCTTCTGCTGTGCAGTAGACAATGCTCAAGCTGTGCCCTTATGCTACCAGGCCTCTGTAAGGTGAGGAGACACTAACAGCACTAAATAGCCAGGCATACAGATGGAGACAAATTGGGGAAATAAAGATCCAAGGCCTGTCTTTCTTCTTCTCCCACTCTTTGCTGAAAGATGCTCAAAATCAGCAGCTGACTGCAAAATATAAAATAACACTGCAGGATTAATTTCCTTTCAAGCCATCAATGAGCTGATGTCAATGGCATTGATAAACTGTTAATTACAAAATCAATAGCTATGAATTTTTACAGCTGTCAGAGCACTGAGGTGCTCTGGAGGCAGCCTGGTCATGTTCCTAAGGGTCAGCAGGCCTACATATGAGGCTTCGTGTTAGAAGCCTTTTTCTCCAGCACAGCTGACATGGAACATAGAGCAGGTATGAGAATGGACACACACACACACAAAAAAAAAAAAAAAAAAAAAAAAAAAGAGAAATAAGAGTTGGTCAGTCTGGGACGTCTTCAGCTGAACATGTGCTGTATGCTAACCTGGAGAGCTGTTTGATGCACAGCATCATCAATTTGTATTCTTGTGGCGAAAGGAGCTAGAAATGCTTAACATGGGAATGCTGTCTCTGAACTGTAACAGGTGACATTTACAGCACACCTACTCTGTCAAAAAATGGTTGACGTTGCATTGTTTGACCTTGCTTGCTGCTTTGGGGCATTAAGAATTAATTTCTCTGCTCTCTGAAAAGTACTCAGTAAAGGCAGATTTTGGTTGGTGCCAGTCTCACCAGAGGAGTCCTTGGTGCATTTCAGTGATGATTAGATATCAGACAGAGTTCGGGCAAGGCAGTTCCTTCAAAGGAACACTGCACCTGCTGTCACCTTCCCTTCTAGAGAACAGAGAGTGAGCTGCCACTCCTGTTTCCATCCACTTTAATTATTAGAAACAAAGGCTCAACGTGCACTGAGCTGCATGGAAGAGTGGAAATTCCCTAGAAACTGGATTGCGTGAGAAATTACATCCTACAGAAAGAGGGGAAAATCAGAAATTTATCTTTATGGAAGGCAAGGAGAAAAGACAGGTTCCAGCAACACAGGTGTTAATCTAAACGCCCAGCTTTAAACCTTGCCTCTGACCCACAGAGCTGATGGCTGGCCCAGAGACAGTCTGCATTCCTGCTGTTCTTGGAGTCAGCTGTGCATACATGTAAGTACGTACATGAAGGTTCTGCAGGTTTATTCCATGTCAAAAATATACTAAGAATAATAACATGTATTAATACAATGCAAAGGTTGAATGCAAAGGTTATGTTAGAAGAATACAGCTTGCCCTATCTAGTTTCCTTGTGTGTGTGTACGAACATGTACTTTCACATATTTCAGTAAGACTAACAAAGCAAGATTTTTGTGGCTTATGCTGCTACCTGACTGTACCTAGAACAAATCAGTGCAGTTAGAATGGCTTTTCCCATTCATGTGGGGCCTATGTTTCCTGACTTCTACCTTGGTTTCTTTGCTCCACAGTGCTAAAAGAAGAACTCTGAAGCATTGGTTGTTCTGCTCAGTGTTTTTCTACTACTGCAGACTATTCCATAAGGCTTACATGGGGCTTAGTCCTGACAGCACAGTGACAGTATCAGTAGAGTGCTTCTTTTGCACCATGAAGAACTTGAGAGCGTCCTACAACAAGTCCACTCAAACACGGTTCAGACAAATGTCCCAGTGTGGTTCTTCTGTCACCCTGTCACTACACTGCCTTAACTCTTCAGCCTCTCTGAGATGCCCTTCTCCTTGTTTAATCCCATGACCTCCTTGGTAGACAGGAGGCAGGTTTTTTAACAAGAGTTGATTGCATAGCCAAAAACCACCATCCCACAATATAGAGAAAGGGTAGCCTTGGCCATCTGCCCATCCTGGTTCAGTGGCGAAGTAAAGGCAGCAATTAGAGGTAAAAAAGCAGTATATGAGAAATTGAAAAAGGGAAGTAGATAGCAATTCATATGAATCAAAAGTTATGAAGTGTAGAAAATCGATAAGCAAAGTGAAGGACATTGGAAGAAAATCCATGGCTGGAAGGGCTAAGGGCCATAAAGAAGAGTTTTATAAATATTTAAGAAATAGAAGAAAAATGACCATTTGTAGGGGGACTCTTTTATGTTGTAGATGATTAAACTATTAATAGAATGAGGAAGTGAGTATTTCTGTCCTGCATTTAGAATAAGAAGTGTTATGTACCTGTCTTATATGAAGATGGTGAGACGCCTTACTCGCTTGTTTCCACAAGAAGGTATCAGACATCTGTTAGGGACAGACTTCAGAGGAATCAGTAGACCTTGATACCTTGGCTTTTAGAATTTTAAAATTGCTGACAAAGGCCCACCTAGGGCAGGTAAATAATTGCTAAGGGTAGGTATTTTTGAGAAATTTGAGATGGCTGGAAAAGTTCTAATGAAGCATATACTGTCCCTGTTTGATAACTGCCACTGATGTGAACCAGAGTAAAATAAAGGAAGAAGAAAAGGTTCAATTAAAACTTAAGAGGTGGTATTACAACTACTGCCGGTCTGCACAATACTTTGGAATGGAGGTCTTGTCAAACAAACCCGATTTCATTCTCTGATGAGATTACAAGTTTGGTTGATAAAGTTAGCTGCATAGATATAATAGACTTAGTCTTTTATATGGCACTTGGCTTAGCACCACAGGACATTCTCATTAAAAAATTAGCACCATGCAATATCAATAAAGCACACTTTCAATTGATTAGTTACTGGCCAGATGACAGATTTCAAAGTAGCTATCAGTGGTGAATCATCCCTGGAGGAAGAGATTTCTGGTGGAAATCCGCAGGGATCAGTAAAACAACAGATGCTACCCAACGTTTTTATCAATTATCTGGAACTGATTTGGTTCTTTCTTTCTTTAACTTCTTTCTTTCCAATTGCTGCTGCTAAGATGTGTGGATGACAAAGCAGAACAGAAAGGTATGAAACAGTGAGGATAGAGTAGCCTCACAGAGCATTCTGGACCACTTGCTTGTACTTGAAGTAACACCTATAGCCCAGGAATGCAACTATGAAATAGGAACTACCTCATGTCAAGCTGTCAGGTGCAAAAGGACCTGGGATCATAGGATACAGCTCAGAAAAGCACTATCTGCAGGCTGATTGAACTCAGGTAAACTGTCATTTGGGATATGGTATCTTTCTTTTCTTTCTAAATTGAGAGAATGATCAATTTTAAAGAGACAACAGCAGGTGTGGATTTCCCCATATTTAAGACCTTCAGCTTCATACTGAGTGCCTTTCTGGAAAGTGCCTTTAGCTGAACACAGATACTGGACTCACTGCTGGCCTGCAAGGGTGAACTGCGTAACCTACACACTGCAGTTTGGCAAGATCAGATGTGAGACAGTGAGACTCGAGGTATGTAGAGGGAGCCCTCGTCACACAATAGCTTCAGCAGTTTCCCTTCGGAAGGAACTCCTGAGCAAATGTATGTCTGGTACAACATCAGTACAGCACACACAACCTTGTGCCTCCCATGGGCATAGGCTTCCAGCCTGCTGGCCTGAGGGCTGTGAACCTCTCCTCACTGAGGCTGAGGGCCCTCATCTCTCTCATCCTCTCCCAGAAAGAAACAAAACAGGCAACATCCAGCTTCTGCCAGCACATCTTATCCTCTACCATTCAGATGGGGGGTGGGAGGGGGGGAATTCAGTGTCAGTGGTCACTAAACACCTACAGCAGCAGACCAAGCATCCTTAACCCCACAGGATGGTTGTTTTTTTGTTTGTTGTTTGTTTTTTTGTGGGATCTAAAACTAAGATTAGAATTTCCCTATTTCCCTATAACTGCCCAACGCTACTTGAGTGGATGCAGGCTTGGCCTGCATCCCTTTATCTAAACTCATGGCACAAGGCCTTTCTTTTAGTGCTAGAATCCAGCCCACCTCTGGCAGGTCCCATTCCCCAGTTCAGGGCCAGTTTGCAAATTGAGGCCATAGCAGCAGCAGGCCATGCTTCTCTCTCCTCACCAGCTTAGGGAGTCTCCACCTCCCTCATCTCTTGCGGGTGACAGAGAAATGCAGGGATGCTGCACGACACGGGCAAAGCACAGACTCAAGCACTGGGCCCTAAGCTCCTCCCAAGCCAGATAACAGCATGTGCAATGACTCTGATCACCTGGCTGCCTGGGGCAGGGCTGTACCTGAATTGGCGAGGGCCAGAGCTTTAAGCGTGACAAACTCTTCCTTTTCCACCTTGAGCTTCTTGTAGCGGCGCACCAGTTGTAGGATGGCCAGGTAGAGCTCAAGCAGCCCTGTCAGACGAGAGTGTTCTTCATCCATGATGTAGTCCTCAGCATAGACGAGCTTGTCCTCGTATGGCAGGGAGCGGTACACAATGCCCAGGATGAGGATTTCCATCCAGGCGCTCTGCAGGAGGCTCATCTGGTCCCCAAGGGAGAGATTGGAGAACCCTGATGGGGCAAAAGACAGCCAGGGTCAAAAGGGTGTGCAGCGAAGAATCCCAGAGCCTGGGCTTCCTTAATTTCCCTGCGGTCCACACAAAGCACTCTCCCCCTGCAACTCTCAAAAAATGCTTACTGAAGTGGCCCCTGTCTCTGTGGCACAGAACACACAGAATATGGCAACCTTAACGATAATCTCTTTTCACTGATTTCTACTTCCACAGCAGCAACTGTTTTGCACCACAACTTCCTGTTCACTGCACCTTTACAATTTTGTATAGCAGCCCATTTAGTCTCCCCAGCTGAATCAAAGAGCAGAGAGCTCCAGAAAGCAGAAAAGATTGTTTCTGATGGAATAGGAAGAAATAACACATGCATACTGCAATCTCTCATTTCAGACAACCTAAGAGAAGGTCCTGCCACAACAGAATGCTGAATGTGTCTGTGAAAAAATCCTCTTCTATTCATCAGTATTCCCTGAGCTCCACACCATCAGCATTCTGCCCCTCACAGCCAACCTTACCCAGTACACAAACACCTCTGTGGTGCTATACAAACAATTTCTTGCCAGGCCCTGTAGCAACAGAACAGTGAAGCAGATCATCCTCCCCAAACAGAAAAAGAGCAGTCAAAGTCACATTCATAGACAGCATCAGAGTCCTGTTGGCTCTGGTGGAGAAGTGGAGAGGCTGAAACACAGAGGTACTGTCTATCTGAAGAGAAAGGGAAAAGCAAGCGCATAGGAAAGAAAGCTATATCTGTTATGTCCTCAGTATCAATCCCAGAAAGCCAGATCATGAAAGAAAGATCCTAGGAGACAGGCACTGTATGACAGCCATTGCAGACAGAGACGTCAAGTACAGTGAGTTGGTCCTGTCTTGGCAGCTCCTGTCCACCACTGACAGGCAGGAATTGTGATTTTTGGCAGTTCCTTGTGTCTGAAGGTTCCCCAGGCAGTGGGAGAATGGGGCAGTCTGACACTGTCAGCTGGGAGGGCTGTGCTGCACCAGCCTCCCCTGCCAGTCTTCACTCCACATGCTTATTCAGCCTTGGGGTTCACTCTCCTCAAGAGGCATGGGAACTCATTAGCCTCTGTCCGCAGGAGCCTGCCAGTCCCACTAACTGAGTGTTAGGCCCAGCGGGATGCTTCCATCCCACAGCTCTCCCTACTCACTTTCCTTGGATCCATGTCAAGGCCTAGGTAGCCAGGCGCCATGATGATCATTTGATTTCTCTTGTTATCAAGTTGGCAATTAACAAAAGAGCTGATGATTGCTATATTGACTGACTGTGGGTCTTCTTTTTCTATCTGCGCTATCTCAGCTGGGGAAGGGATGGCAGAAGGGTGGGTTAGTGGTATTTATTTATCACTACGCCATGTTTTGTGTTTGTGTTGCCAGGGGAAGCAAAGGGTGATAATGGCCTGGCAGCCCTTGGACATCCAATTTCCCTTATCAGGCCACTGAATAGAAAAGAGGCCCCAGGCCACATTAATTAACAGATACCAATCAGCTGTCACATGTTGTGTGTGCAAGGTCTGAGGGGAGCAGTGGGTGGGAGGAAAGAATCAATAAACCACTGGGGAGGAGTGCCAGAAGGAACAGCTAAAGAGTCCAGGCTGCTGGGGAGAAAAGCTGCAAAAATCCAGCTCCATGACTGTGAGATTGAATCCTGTACAGCACAGCCCACGTAGCCCTGTGTCTGATGAAACCCATCCCTTGCTGAAGATGCAGGGATGCCTTTCTCCTTTTTCTCTTTAGTCTCCTGCTCCTTAACTCCTATTAAAGAGCAGCCAGTACACTGCTTTTTTGCTGCTCCTGAATGCAGCCATCCCAAGTCCAAGAGCAGGCTGAGGCAGTTCACAGGCTTGGTCCTGTCTCCCCAGGTCTCCTTGCTACTCAGGAGCTTCATAGGATTAGCCATGAGGCAGAGGAAGCTGTGCACAGGCACTGGCACAGTCTCTGGTGCCTGGAATTTCTCCTCTGCAGCCAGCTTTCAGCCTTTCATTCACCTTTCTCCTAGCTCTGCCCATGGAGAGCAGCCCCACATTTTGGCTGCTGCCTTAAGTCCAGTTTCTGGGTAAATCTTGTGGCCTTTCTGCACTGCCATTATTCATCTGGGTTGCAAATGGGGTTACGCTGTTGTCTCAATGCAGTCTGTCAACAAAATTTGTTAAAGATTGAGAAACAGTTATGTAGTATGGTGAGAGGATCCAAAACAGACATAGCTCACACATTTCTGATACAGAATGAAGTGCAAAATCTTGATATAATCCTAGCAGTAGCCTGTACACTCAGCACCTCTATGAATCACTCTTTCCCAGAGGTCGTTATGGCAGGTAAAGAATTGCAAAGCAGAGGCCATTCTTTACCTATGCCAAAGGAGACAGAAGAGCCAGCTGCAACTGCCCTGCCCACCCAGCAGAGTCCTCTGCCAGTCTCCTGTGGTGAGCATGAAGGCAGGAGCTGCAGTGCCAGTTCTGGATTTGAAATGCGTAACAGAACTGGGACCCTCCACTGTTTCCACAAGTAGAATGCAAGGGCTGGGGGACTGTGATGTATGATACTGCACTCTGCACAGACAAGAGACAACATCAGACAGATCAGACAACATAGGGTTTCCCATATATGAAAGTTGGGATCTGGAGCGTGAAATGCTAATTTCATTTGGCTAACATCAGAGGCTCACTGTTATAGGTTTGTAACACTGGAGAACATCCAGTTGTGAAATTCAAGTGCGTCACCAGATCATAGCTCACAGGAATTGCTAGCAATCCAGCCTTGCGCATTCCTGAGTTGTTTGATAGCACAGCATCCAGAAAGTGCCCTTACTAATCTGTTTCTTGCTGCAGGCCTTATTCTGAAAGGTGCTGACTACTCCACTGGCAGCGGGAGGCTCCAAAGAAGTATCTCAGGATTGCATAGGCTCCGTGATCAGCACAGAGCTGCATGAGCATTTCCCTCCTTCCCAGGTGCGGGTAGAGAAAAGCTGCTTTATTTGCAACAGCTGATGTGACATGCTTTTTTTTTTTAATCATTATTTTTGTGGCTTATTTTTCCCCCTCAGCGATACGGCAGTGGGAGCTCCCAGAATTTAAAAAAAAAAAAAAAAAAAAAAAAGTCACATAATTTGTGGCAAGTGGAGTTCATAATCTGTTAATTTATTATCATTTCTGTCATTCTGGAGGGCCATTAGCAGAGGTAATAAAGGGCGATGTAATTATAGGATCTGAGGCCACTCCAGACACAGCTGCTGTCACTCCACTTGCCATATTTCATTCCATGCTAGTACTATCGTCTTCCTAGTGAGAGCAGCACAACAGCTACCCTGGGAGAGCCTTCGCCGTCACCTCTTGAGAGAAGTCCTGTCTCCCTGCATCAAGGCATGCAGAAATAGTAGATGTTCAAAGACAATTAGCACAAGGGGAGGGGCCTCACTAAGAAGGGTACAACTCCACACTAAGTCTGGCTTTTGCGCTAATAGCTAATAAGACTGCTGAGCTAAAGATACTTGCTGAACACCATTAAATCATGCTTTCCTGTTATCATAGGACTGTAGCTTTGATTTTGTTTGCTAGCAGCATGAGGCAGAAGGTTGCACCAACATCTGGGATCCTGAAGGGTTGGTAAGACTAATACCACACAATTCTTTATTAATTCCACTGTGAAAACAAGGCAGACATGATGTGACTTCTGTTCCTTTCTCACACAGGAAGCAAAGTCCTGGTATTCTAAAAATCTCTGGAAGGCAGAAATACAGGGCATATATAATCCAGACTCCTGGCAGCCTCCTGGCCCTGCCCTGTTCTGCCCCCTTGCTGCCTAATGCAGTATGTTTTGTACATGTTTTTTTGTTCCCTTTCTATGAACTTTTACCGCTCCCTTGCGTAACAGTCCCTGAGCTCTCTCTTGTATACACAGTCCTGTTACGATACTGCTGCTTTGAACTGCATGAGGCTGATGGCTGATGTTTATCACGCTGCAAAATCTTTGATAGGAAAGAGAAAGCTGAGGTGATGACAGGTTTGTCCTGCCTTTCACAATGGAGTGGAAGATCCTTTTTTGTAGTGCAGGAGCCATCTCATTACTACACACCTGTTCTGGGATAATCACCATACCAAACTGAAAAACCCTGTAACAATTCAGAACTGAGCATCCCACACTGCAAGCAAGGGAACTAAAGCAGGACACCCTGTGCAAACAGGAGTAGACAAGGTTAGCAGAACAGACAGCAGCACCTTACTGGACAGCCAAGCAGATAATTGCATTGTATGAAAACCACTCCTGTTAATGCCCTAAGTTCTGGGTTAGTAGAACAATCCAGGCTGAGTTCCCTAATCACCACTGTAACCCCATTTGTGATGAATCAGCCCCAGAAGGATTCCAGTGCTACTGATGGATGTAATACTTGCAGATCCTGCAGATCTCATGTAAGAAGGGCACCACTGGGATTAACCTCTACTCAGAAACACTGTCCTCAGAAAGTTTATCCAGACTTTATAGTCCCACCACATAACACTGTATTTCATACAGCCTAGGAAGTCACTGACCCTTGAGTCACAGGAGAAATACTCCCACTGAGAAAAGAAGAGCAGCCACCAAAAAGCCACAAGAGGAGTGACAAAGAGAAGCAGTATACATAAAAGAAATAGGTTTGAATAAGTTTGCTCACTCATGCTAAGATGCCTCACAAAACAAGGAAGAACTTAAAGCCACAAAGCTAAGCAACATAACACAAGTCTATGCAGCGGAAGATGCAGACAATGGGCAAGTACTGGTTAAATCCTGTGATTCTGTGGTTGACCTCAGATATTCTCCCAACAAGGCAGGGTGGAAGGCAGGAGAAAGTAATACTGAGCTGTTCATAGTGAGCATCTGTTTGAAGTAGTCCTCTGGAAAGCAGCCATGTAAACCTCAAGGACATTCTCCAAATTCCCTATCCAATCTTCCCCATATCCAAATCCAATCTATTTTTTTGGAGAGGGTATTTGTGAAGGAACAACAGAGAAGGAAGGGGCATTTTCCCTGCTTAGTCTGAATCTATGTCCCAGAACCTTCTTGAGGATCATGTCTGCTCCTTCAGCCTGGGTCCATCCTACTGCACATGAGATGCTGTAGCTCTCTCACTGAGTTGCACAGGCACACTCAGTTGGGTACTGAGATACTGGATACTGAAAACAGTGAGCCTTCAGAGGCCAGTCACATTGCCAATACATTGTCCTCATTATTTTTCAGCACAGAAGACCAGAGATTGACTGACAACAGTGAGCATGTCCTCCATTTCAATGAGACTTGCTCTGTGATGAATCCAATAAGATAAAAGCTTTCCTAAGTCTGCACAAGAATGCCCACTACAGACAGAGTGGGCACCTGCCTTGCCATTAGCAATGAAGTCCAGTCACTATCATAACATTTATTTCATCCATAAACACAACAGACCTAGGCCATAGTGATGTAGTCCAAGATCATCACAAGTCCACCATCCCAAGGGCTGTTCCCCAAGTGCTTTCTTTGTGCCACTCAATGCAGATGTCACTGGGACTTTGTTATAGCATCTCAAAGCCTACTGCATAATGCCAGGGCACACACACACACACAGTGAACTCATGCACCTGCACCAGGGGTTATACTGGAGTTCGTTTCCAATGAAGGCCTGCCACAAGCAGTTTTCTGTATCAGTAATTTCCATCCGTCACTATATGTAAAAATCCTGCTTGAAGACAAACTGATAAGCACAGTGATAAATAATAGCTCCCTTTGCTGTCCACACTTCAGCCCTGTAATTTCCCATTTACCTGGGATGTGCTTCGCCCAGCCAATGATCACCACCAATTCCCTGTCTGCCAGGTCACAGAGGGTTGTCAGGGCTTTGATGTCACTCTCCGGCATGGTTGGATCAGGCATGGCATAAATCTTCTCTGGCTCTGCCACCAGCAAGTGGGAGACGATCTTAGTCACTGCACATTTCAAAGGAGAAGTTGTTGTTTTACCTCTCGTGACATAAGGTGTCATAACAGCCCTCTCTAGAAGGGCCTTCCTGCAGAATACATGGCTATAGAGGCTGTGGGACCTCAGAAATTGTATAGTTCACAAGAAGACAATACACTGCAACCTCATATGCTGTAGTGATCTGTCTATGCCAAACCAGCTCCATACAGGGATGACAAAAGCAGTAAGCTACTGTAAGGCTGTCAATCGCTATTTCAGGTAGATCCAACAGGGATAGGAGGAAGCATGAATAATCAATTGATAGGACCTGGAAAAGTTTTGGGAATTATTGGCCATATGGAAGAGAGGAATCAGCACAGAACCAATTTTGTCAGGGTAGCTTGGATGGCAGAAAAGTTCAACAAAATCACTAAATGAACTTTTATAATCTCCTAGGAAATTTCTGGTCTATATTCTAAGTACAATAAATATTGCACCCAGGCTATACCTTAGATGTAGCAAGTATACTGATGCACTGTGATCACAAGAAAAAGTGCTGGTGACAGCTGGGAACCAGAATTGATAACTGCTCCATTGAACATTGTGAGACCAACTAAAGGGAACACAGTGGTTGCTCAGAGGACCACAATCCAAAGACTGATACATACGTGGCTTTTTAGCTGGGGGAGGGATCTGTAAGCTCAAATAAGTGCTACTCTCAGAATCCAGTCTTCTCTTGTATTTCTGGCGGCCTCCACGGACTCGATCCAGACGAACACCTGCAGTTAAAACAGGATATATTCATATGATTCCTTACAGCCTCCATCTTGATATTCAGATGTAAAATTCTGCCGAGATGTTCTCCACACTCTCCCAATCAATCATTTGAGATCTCAACTGAACTCAGAGATCCCAATAATAATAGGTAAGCTACCTCTAGCTCTCATACTACTGCTGGGAGCTTTATTTTCTTTCAAGACATTAATGAAGACAAAAATTAACCCATTTGAACTCTTGAATCACCGCTAATGTGATGGACAAATGAAAAGTCTCAGAGCTTAATGTCCTCTGGATGATGATCTTGCTTTTAAAAATAAAGCCTTAAATGTCAATCAAACCTGTAGTTATAAAAATAAGGTTTTAGATTGTTGTTAAAATTGAGGAGTTAAATGTTCTGTTACCTCCCACTGCTTATGTTTGAAAAAAGTGATCTATAGCAAATAGATTATGAATCATGAATTCAACAGAAATGTTTCAGGTTTGATCAAGTAAGGAGCCACAATAAAAGTAGAACTGAAATAAATAGAAACAACCTCTCCTACAATATAGCAGCAATAAATCTGAAGCAGGGACACACTGAAGAATTTGCTGTAGCTCTTTGAAAATACAGAGAACCAAACTGCAAATATTACAATGAAAACAGTTCCCAGTGACTGACCCCACACAAAAAACTACAGCAGCATCGATAACAACTGAACAGGAACTACCACTGAACTTCTGTTATCTTGAACTGCACTGGGACAAGACACGGAATTAAAAACTAATCATGAAAAAAGCCACAGATATCTGATCAATTGTCAGTTGCTTCTGGCAGCCATATTGCTGCTGGCAATTAGTTCCTGAGAAACTGGAGCAGCTCAGTCCTGCTGGAGGAAACAGCTATTGCAAAAAAAATCTCTCATGATGAAAGTAGGGGCAATCAAGTAGAATAGATCTTTGAACCTACACAATACAAGCGTATAAACACTGATGAGTTTATCTAGTCTGATCACAGGAACCAATTATGCGATACACTTACTAATCACACTGAGCCATTAATATTTTGCAATCAATTTACTGCGTAAATACAAACATCTAAAAGCAAACTCTGCAAACCAGTGCTTTTTGAACAACTTGTACATCTGAAAAACCTGCAGCCTGCTGACATATATTCAACCCCAGAAGGAGACACATCTGTCACACTGTATGTCTCAAGCCAGTGCCCCATTTGCTTACTGGGTCATGGAAAAAGGAAAGCTTGCAGTGCGCTCACATTGATCCCTCTGACACCATGTGAAATTATTACTTGCCACAACACCTCAATCCTGATACCACAACCAGAGCACCCAAACCAGATCAACTGACAAACAAGCACCAGCAGCCTTGCAACAGCAAAAAGAACCACTGCCAGCCAGGCCAAAGGCACTTAGCTACACAGCAGTGCTGCCAGGATTTCCAGCAGGAGCAATGCCACGTGCAGGTGTATTGCCTTTAAGCCTCGGTGTGCAGGGGCATGCTGTTGGTAGAGCTACATAGCTGCTTCCTTTTAAGAGACCAGCTGCTGCCATTAAGCAGAGGAAGCAGGAAGATGGGAGGCCTGGAGTTCTTGAGACCAAAGGAACTGCTGCTGCAGGAGTGTGCTCTGGGAGGAGGACAGGCATTGGAAGATGGACAGAATGACGTGAAATAGAATGCGTGAATTCAGATCAAACCTTTCCTTCCCCTGCATTTTCTATTTCTGACACTGTATAGAGAGCTTACTGATGTCCCTAAGAGTAAGTACTACTTTTCTCCTCTATTACACAGCAGATTTTCTGAAAATGTTGTCCACTGCTTCTTTTATCTCTGTTCCTTGCAGCAGGTAGCCTGTGGGCAAAATCCCGGGAGCCCTAATAGGTTCCAGTGAGTGATTTTTAGAAAGGGCAGATGAGGAATCGCAAACCTAAGTTTATCCTGGGAGATCCTGGAGGAACAGCACTAATAAAGTCCTGGATGAAGTAGGATGCTGTCACTTCTGCCTGTGATTCTTTCCTTCTGTACGTGTTCCCTGGTTTCATAAGAAAGAAGACCCCTACGCTACTATGCTCTGCTGAATGACTGACACCTACATACAGCCAGGAGAAAATGGGAGAGACAGATTTCAGGAAGTACCAGGAAACCAAGTAACCAGCTGTGAAAATTTAAAGGGTCGGGAATAATTCTGTTTGAAGGTTATGGAGGAATCCAAAAAAGGTTACAGAACTTCACTCCTGCATCACAGCTTCCTAGGACACTCACAGAAGAAAGGTCACAGGAAGGCCCATTCCCTCATGCCAATAAGATGGATTATAGGCAGGATTTCACTGGAATGGGGGACACCATTCTCAGCCCAGTAGAAACCAGCAAACAGCTCTCCACAATGCTTTTACTGTACACTTTGCTAAGCAGTACAGAAGGACGACTGGGAGAGTTGGGAGAAAATGGGGGAAGGAGCTTTCTGTTCCTCTTCCCAAGGAGAAACATGCATCTCCAGTGCCCAGCAGAGGGATGGCTGCACAGGTTGCAGCAGTATTAAGGACCCTCAATCAGATTATAAGGACACAAACGACTTAAGTGCATTAAAAAAAAGATAAGAGAGACGCAGGGAGATTCACCATCCATCCCTCCTTCCCTCACTATGCAGATAGAGGTCTGTTCGCCCAAGGTCTTTAGCTTGTTTATTTTGAACAAAACTTCGTCCTCTTGTTGTTCCTGCATGAAACTCCTTGAGGCAAATGCTTTCAATCAGCATTTGCAGAGCCACTACCCTACCCTGTCATCAGCAGCTCCAGCTGTTCAAGGCAACAGCAAACAAAGGCATCTCAAGCTGAGTCCCTGACTGTGACAGTCCAGAAGTGAGCACTGTGGCAAAAGCCCTTTCCTAAAGAGCTGACAGCGTAAGGGGTCATAGTAGATGGCAGGAAAGGGCATGGCCAAAATTCAAGATCTAATACTAAGCAGCAGTGGCTTGTTAATGTCTGCTGCTCTGCTCTGGTTTGCTCACTGATTGATTTTAAGATAGGGAGGGCGGTTACAATGCAGCTCTGCTGGAGGATACCTAAGGGGTACCTAAATGGGGTGGGGAGTTGCAGTGCATGAGCTCAGAGCAAAAAAGAAAGCATCAAGTGGAGAAGAAACAGAGCAGGATGTAAACTGAATGAATGAAAGTGAGAAGGCAGAAGAGAGATGAGAGGGGCAGGGCTGGAGCAAGGCTGAGTGCTTTGTACACTGTAATCCCAAGTGCAGAGTTCACACCAAGCCTGCAGCCACCTGCACTTTAACTGCGAAGTGCAGCAGTCACTTCTGAGATACAGCTGGTCAGAAGGCTCTTACATAGGGTTTGATACCACAGCCTGACCAGACAACACCAAGAGAAAGCACCTGACTTCCAGCTCCTGCACAGGCTGATTTTTCACATCTGTCCAGCTCCCAGGAAAGAAAGCACTCATCTTACAAAGCCATCACCATGACTGCCACTCTTGGACCCTCTCCTCCTTCTTGACACAGTGTCAGCAAAGATGGTCAGCTAGAGCAAACAGGATGGGAGGATTCACATTTACGATGTGAGGTGCTACAGTACAGAGCAAGGTTTGGGAAGTATCACTCTGTGCTGACCTACCTTTCTGGAAACTGCTTCTTCAGAAATGAAGGCTGTATGTGCTGAAACATCCCCTCTCCTCCCGTTCCGTGCTGCCAGGAAGTGCCGTTTGTTGAATTTTGTTACCTTTTGAGTCACTCTGCACAGCAGCCCAGGTGCCAAGCTTCCCAGAGTTGCACTGAGTCCCCACTCACCAGCAGCATGCTTTCAGCTCCCCAGCATCAAGCAAGGAGAGGGGCACGTCCGGGGCTTGTGCAGAACTTGTTGGCTCAGCATCCTGCCCGGGGCAGGACTGTCAGTTTTCGAAGTGTCCTGTGGGTGCCACTCGAGTTCCAAGTGCTGGTGCGGCGAGGTCTGTGCCAGCACCAAGCCTCTGCAGTGGGAGAGCTGATCCGCTGACCTGTTCAAGCTCCCTGCATTTCTGTGACATGCCCCTCAGAGAGATGTCTGCCCGACAACTTTGGGATCAGATGTCCCCATGCTGACTTGATAACATCAGGCTTCGGGTGTTTTTTGTTTTTTTTTCTTAATGGAAGTAAAATAATTCCATCTTTTTTTAAAAGCTGGACCTAGGCCCAGTCTGTCGGAAGTAAAAATAGCCGAGTATGCAGAGGCGACAGCATACGGAGTCAGGTTTAGTTTCTCTTTTATTTTCTGGGGACTAAAAATAATCTTAAAAGCTCTGTGAAGCTAAGCTCCGGCCATTGGGAAATGCAGTCTAGGCCCAATATCAGCTGTCGTGTCAAATTACTAGCCTCACCTCACTTTCCATCGAGTCCTATCACATGCTCATGAATTGACAGGAACAGAAAGATCCATCTTGCCAAAAGAGCTAACAGAGAAGCCAAGCTACAGGGTTTATGCATGGGATAATTTGTGTCTAGATCAAGAAGGGCACAACTGAAGGGAAGAGAGGACAAGTGCTTGCTAGGGAGCAGCATCTCCAGGACTGCTTTTGCCCAGCTCACTCTATAAACCAGCCAGATCCTGTGCTTACTGCCCACCTGTACCTTGAGGTACAGTCTGCATCAGTGCAACCTAGCTGCTCTCCCGAGGTCTGAGCTGAGGTGTTGCTCCACAGGTGACAGAGGTACCCCTGTCCCCAGGAGCTGCATTCTAAAGCACGGGGACTGGCAATGCCCAAGAAAGCTGGCAAACATAGGCTGAGACCAAAGAAAAAAAGAAAGGGAAAAGTACTGTACACAAGGCGTTCCTTCTCCTTTTTTCTCAGAACATCAGGAGAGACGAGGGGATGTGGCAGTGGGAGGAGTGAGCTGGGAGGATGCCTATCAAGGAAACAGTGTAGCTATGACCTTAAAAGTTAGGGGTGCCCAGATGGGGTAAGAAACAGACTATGGAGAAAAGTGCTTAGTGAGAAGGTGGAAAGGCTGGAGCCTGACTAGG